ATTTCTTAACATGGTGATCACATTGCATCAAGGATTTCATCAAGACAAAGAGTTCCCCACACATTCTTTGGAGAATATTTCTATTTTTTTTTCACAGAGGAATTTTTGAAAGGAAAAACAACAACAACTCCAGAGCAGCACAATCTTTTTATGTTGCTCTGAAAACTAATGTCTTCATTTGTATATTCAACAATACTAGCTGAAATCTTCTCAGACTTGTTCGGCTTCCTAGATTCTACTTACTATAGTGTAGTATCAAAACATAGGTCCCTATATTTTGTCCATTTTATTTGTAAAAGCCTTGCCTAATACTTGCAGTTGAATTTGGAACGAAGAATTCGAATAAGAAAGGCTGGTTTTTAGTGTCAGCATCATAGACAAGTTTAAGATAAATATTTACTTTTCACATAGCATCTGTTCATGTGTCACTATATACAGTCTGGATCCATACTCTTTTGTCAGGGAGGTACAACTGGCAAGTTTGTGCAGCTAGCTGGGAAAGGGAAATTGTATCTCCTGTACAAGTAATTAGATATTATGTTTTGTTAGAGCTGGCAGCAGTTGGCAAATAAGATTTACACATCCAAACATCTCATTAAAGTCAATGAAGACTTTAAGAAATAAGAGTAGATCGATAGGTTTTGTGCAAACTTTGACGTTTCTTTCTTTTGTCAATACAGAGTGTTTATGCACCACTTTTAAGCAATTCCATTATCATCTCCCCTCAAATAGAATCTGTAGAAGGGGTTAGTTGCTATGTGACAGGAACTATCCTACAATAGATGCTAAGGCAGATGTATAAAATAAACATTTTGTAAATGTTTCTGCAGTAGAAAACATGAGTCATGGGCATAATTGGATTAGTACCTCAGTATCAGTTCATTTTGAATGTGGCTTTATAGTATTTGCTCAGAAGATGTTTTGGTAAATTCTGATGTTCCTGTAGATTAGCTTATTCGGAGAAAACTACTGCTCCGTCCTCAGCCTTGCATGGTATCCATTTAGGAATTGGGCTATTGCTCAGTTATATACAAAATGTATATAATTCCTGCTCAGCCATGAAGCTCACTGGGTAAGACACATTCTTTCAGTGTGACTTACCTCATAGGGTTAGTAGGAGAACAATAAGGGACCAGATGTTTTGAGAAGAATATGGGAAGGGGCACGAAGGCTTGAACTTGGAAGAATGGCCACCACAAAGATGTCCCAC